CAGGAATGTAATTTTCTATTTTAACTACACTTCAGATGCCCAGTCTCACCAGTACTGATGCCATAACCCAAAAAACCAACAGTCTGAACCCAAATCAGCCCAGACACCGACACACACGGCCCGTCCCCTCCAACCTCTTCACCCTCAACGACCAGCACGACTGCTCACACGTCCATCAGTGGCTCATGGACAACTTCGTGGAACTGACAGGTGCGTTTACTGCAAATTTACAACGATTTACAAAGAGTCTATGGCAGCCCTCTCTCCTGCATAATCTCATTTACCAAGCCACTGTTATTCTAAAGCCACGTCCAACTGTCAGAGCATAACAAGTAGCTAATTAGCCTGAGTGAAATCTCATCTCCTTCCATCCATTTACAGGGGAATATTAATATTAGCAGGGTGAGCTAAGAATTAATCTGCACAGGCAGAAATGAGCCAACGCTATCTGTCTGATTAAGCCTATTATATTTACTAATTACAGCCTCCTTTAATAATCCGGGAAGTAGCGCAATTATAAGTGAATGCTAATTATACCGTCTGCATATGAGAGATATCAATTTAGTGGCATGAGAATTTGTATTTGGGTCAACCAGAGAGGCATCGCTAGGTCTGGCTCCGAATAAGTTGTCAACACAAATTACCTGATAATAGTTTTGGCAGAAATCCTGTTGTGGTTGAAAACATCCGAGTTGTGCAGCGCTGGCTGTGCTTCAGCACCATGGACAGGGCTTGAGCGAGACCTTCTCTAGCTATTCAGCCCTGCATGAGGAAAGACAGATGATATGTAAATGAATGCTGTTTAACATAAACTGGCGTAAATATGGCATTGAAGACAGGAGCTACTGGACTGAATGCGTGAGATGTATAGAAGACAAAGCCACATTTATAAAACGGACAGTTCTGGCTCTCTAATCTGATTGGATGAGTCACGTTCAAAGACAATTTACACACACCTGTGACCGCACATCAGTTAATATTAATAAAAGGAATCCTTTTATGCAGCAAGGATGCATTAAATTCACTAAAAGTGACAGTAAAGACATTTATGATGTTACAAAAGATTTCTGTTTCAACTTTCTATTCATCAAAGAATCCTGAAAATATGGTGATACATTTTTTCCCCAAGATTCTTTGATTTTTGTTTTAATAATAAAACTAATACTAATACTAATAATACTAAGAAATGTTTCTTGAGCAGCAAATCAGCATATTAGAATGATTTCTGAAGGATCATGTGATACTGAAGACTGGAGTAAAATTCAGCTTTGCATCACAAGAATAAATTACATCTTAACATATATTCATATTGCAAAAACAGTCATTTTAATTTGTAATAATATTTCGCAATATTACTGTTTTTACTGTATTTTTTATCAAATAAATGCAGCCTTGGTGAGCATAAGAGACTTTCGAAAACATTTTTTAAAATCTTACGATTTGTTTTTTGTTTTTTTACCATTACGACCCCAACTTTTGGTCGATAGTGTGTATTATGGTAGTCATTTGCTAATAACCAATAATGAAATGATATTAAAATAATAATGCTAATAATTTAATTAATCATTTAAAATCTAATTAAAGTAATAGAGATCCAATGTTCATTTCAATTATTATAAAATAGTTTTTAATTTTGTAATATAAAGTTTTTAAATTCTAAGTGCTTTCAAAATTTTGATTGCATTATTGATCCACATTCAATATTATTTTGTATACATTAATCCTACAATGTTTTATTCTGATATATAATATAAATCATGCTTTAGTGAATACGGCAAACGTAATACTCATCTATGCAATGATTTTTCAAACCAATCATCTGTCATTATACAGAATCATGCATGTGTGCCTTACACTGTAAAAAAAATTCTGTAGTTTTTACAAAATAATTTTGGCAGCTGTGGTTGCCAGAATAATTTTGTAAAAAATACAGAAAAACTGTAAACACATTACAGTACATTTTACACATTTTACAGTATAAAACTGTAATTTACAAACAAGAACATTTTAACGTAAACCAGTAAATTCAACAATGCACACTGCTATTAAAATCTGTTTTGTATCTTTAACATACTAACAACCACCATAATAATGCAGGTGGTAAAATAGAAAGCCACGTGAAGAATCAAAGCTCATCACAAGTAGCTTCGCCACAAGCAGAAGTATATACTAATATATAGAAGGTGCACAGAGTCATTAATGCAAACACAAAACACCATCATGGTAACACACATGATACTTAAATAATGCATTAAACTTTCATTAAACAACAGAAGATGTAACATAAAGCCCAAATATACATAACTAATAGAAAAAACTATTAAAAAACCATGATTATTTAAACAAAATACTTTCAAATGTGGAGTGTCATGCAGGGAATTCTGGGAATATCAGTTTACAGTTTTTGACTGTAAATTATACATTGATTTGTTATTTTTACTTCTAAAAATTTACTTCTGTAAATTAACAGCATTTTACTGTAGAATTACATGAAATGTCTGGTTAGATATTTTACAGTTTTTCCCTGTATATAGTACGGGAACTTACTGTTAACCTATTAACAGTTTTTTTCCATAGCGTTTTTACAAAATGTTACAGTTAAAATTACACTTATTTTTTACAGTGTATATATTCAGCATGTCATTCTGTGCGTTATGTGAGCTCCGTCTGATTAGTTTTCATCCTTGAGGACTCTAATGTTAACATCAAAGACCTTCCTTCACAAAAGATCTCAATTAAATCAATCCAGCACTGATGGTATGAGAGCGTTTCTGACACTGTTTGGGCGCAGCAGTGAAAGGACATCACTTCCTTCATCTTCTCTTCCTTATTCCTTTCTTTCCCCTCATCTAACCTAATGGGACCTTCTCCGGGTTGCTAAGTGACCCTTCTCTGTTTCACAGCCACTGATATTAGCTCTCCAAATAGCCGTAATAAATTGCTTCCCTTCCCCCTTGTGGAGGCTAAATGGCCTTAAGTTTATTTTACAGTTAAGTAAACCAGCTTTTTATTGGAGGGAATGTAACTTGATGAATTCTCATTGGTATGGATGTAATAAAGTCCAGTGTTTTTCCATTTCAAATGAAGCCACTCTTTTAAATGTGACGTGTGTACCAAATGCAAAATGATGTTTGACTGGTTGGCAGGTGATGCTGTGCTATATGGAAACACCATAGACGTGTTTACCTGCGTGGAGACGCTTATGTGTTTTGGTGTCAGCGGCCGCCAGATTCATGTGGTCCATCCTCCCGAAGACAACCCAACTTCCTGTTTCCCCAACGGTTCAGTGGAGCACGCAGTGAAACAGGCTCTAGAAAAAGAGGAGGTTCACGTGCATCACGACTGCCTGCTGACTCAAATCAATGATGGACGACACACTGATCCTGTGACTTCAGTGACCTTCACCACTGACACTCAGACTCTACAACTGGAGTGTGCGGTGAGTGAAACTACCTGCAGAGGAACAGAAACATTCTTAAACATCAGTACACAAATTTTAAGGAGCCATATTATACATTTTGTATTAGTGTTTATTTTTACATGTTTTTGTGCCAAAAAACACATTTCCATTCAAAACTTTGAGGTCTGTAAAAAGTCTCTTCTGCTCACCAAGGCTGCTTTTATTTGAGCACAAATACAGTAAAAAAGAGTAAAATTGTGAAATATTATTACGTTTTAAAATAGCTGTTTTCTATCTGAATATATTTTAAAGGGGTCATATGATGCGATTTCAAGTTTTCCTTTCTCTTTGGAGTGTTACAAGCTGATTGTGCATAGATAAGATCCCTGAAGTTGCAAAGACTAAAGTCTCAAAACCAAAGAGATATTCTTTATCAAAGTTAACAAAGCTGAATTTTCAGCTTCATTACTCCAGTCTTCAGTTTCACGTGATCTTCAGAAATCATTCTGATATGCTGATTTGCTGCTCAAGATACATTTCTGATTGTTATCAATGTTGAAAACAGTTGAAAACTAATTTTTGAACAGTTTTTGTAGCATTATAAATGTCTTTACGCTCATTTTTTATCAATTTAATTATCTATTTTCATTATTGACCATCCTTGCTAAATAAAAGTATTAATTCTTTAAAAAAAATAATAATAATCTTACTGACCCCAAAATTTTGAATGGTAGTCTACATATTTTAGATTTAAGACTAAATTATTTTTTATTAAACATTCCCTTTATCTTGTTATTTTTTAAAAATGACATTTTGAGTTCTGAAAGTTACAGAATAAATTCCAAGTATTTTATTTCGTAAGATCAAGGACATTTTACAAGGATATAATATGAGCTCTTTAACAAAAATTTTTTATTTTTTTTTAACTTGCATTCGATTTTCATAGGTGTTCTTCAGCTTCTCTCATAAAACCGTCGACTACGATGCCTTCAAGGCCATCAGTGATGCCTGTTTGGTGTTCGATGGGCGTTTGGTCATAGATTCCAGCTTCCACACCAACGACCCCTCTATATACGCCGCAGGCCCCTTGACCAAATACTCCCGCCGTTACCATGCCGACCAGTGGAGCGACTCCTGCTTTAATTGTAAGGAGGTGGGGCAGAGTTTGGCATCTGTTGTCCTGCCCTTATGTGACCCAACCCTGGAGCGTCCCGCCAGCCCACCGTCTGACCACGACCACCTCATTCCAACGTATAATCAGGCCAAGATCCAAGGTCACCATTTCTCCTTCTAAATTTCTTAAGCAGTACCTAGAACAAAACATCACAGTCACTTCAGTGTAGGCTCTTTTAAACAACATCCTAGCAACTGCCTAGAACACCCTAGCAACCCCCAACAACAAGAAAATTCACTCAAAACACCTTAGCAACAGCCTAGAACACTCTAGCAACCAGAATACTCTGGAAGAATGCTCTAAAATCCACTCAAAACACCTTAGCAACTACCTAAAACACCCTAACAACAAGAACACTCTAGAAAACCCATTTAGAGCACCTTAGCAACTGCCTAGAACACCTTAGCAACCCCTAGCAACGAGAACATTTTAGAAAATCCACTCAAAACTCCTTAGCAAATGCCTAAAACAAGCTAGCAACCAAAATACTCTGAAAAAATGCTCTAAAATCCACTCAAAACCCCATAGCAACTGCTTAGAACACCCTAGCAACCCCCAGCAACAAGAACATTTGCTCAAAACACCATAGCAACTGCCTAGAACACACTAGCAACCCCCTAGCAACCAAAATACTCTGGAAAAATGCTCTAAAATAAACTCAAAACACCTTAGCAACTATCAAAAACACCTTAACAACAAGAACACTCTAGAAAATCCACTCAGAACACCTTAGTAACCCCTTAGCAATTACAACCCTCTAAAAATCCACTCAAAACACATTAGCAACTGCTTAGAACACCCTAACAACAAGAACACTCTAAAAAAATCCACTCAAAACACCTTAACAACTGCTTAGAACACCCTAGCAACCCCCAATAAGAATATTCTAGAACATTCCCTCAAAACAACATGGCAACCACCTAGAACACCCTAGCAACCAGAATACTCTGAAAGAATGCTCTAAAATCCACTCAAACACCTTAGCAACTGCTTAGAACACCCTAGCAACCCCCAGCAACAAGAACATTCTAGAATATTCACTCAAAACAATTGGCAACTGCCTAGAACACCCTAGCAACGAAAATACTCTGGAAAAATGCTCTAAAACTCAAAACACCTTAGCAACTACACTGTAAAAAAAAATCCGTAAAATTTACAGTAAAAAACCAGCAGCTGTGGTCGCCGGAATTTTACCGTAAAAAATACGGTAGCAACGTTTTAGGTTTTACGGTTTTAACTTAAATTTACAGTTAAATACCATAATTTCATTAACTGAAATAATATTAATATACTAACCTATTGAAGCACTGAAATCTGTTTTGTACCTTTGTAATACACTGATAACCACCAAATGCAGGTGGTGATGAGAAAGTCATCTTTGTCATCAAAGACAAAGTCATTCAAAGCCCATCACAAGCAGCTTTTAAATAATAACATATATAGAAGGTGCACAGTGTCATTCACACAAACGCTAAACACCATCATGGTAACACACATGAAACTGAAATAATGCAATAAACATTCATTTAACAACATTAGGTGTAACACACAACCCTAATATACAAAACTGATAAGAAAAAACTAAGAAACATAGTTATTTCAACAAAAAAAACCATCAAATTTGAAATGTAACGCAGGGAATTCTGGGAATGTCAATTTACGGTTATTCACTGTATAACAGGTATAATAGGTATTTTTAACTTCCAAAAACGGTATAATACCGTAAAATTTATGTCCAATACATGTAATGTCCTATACAGTTTTTCACCGTATATAGTAGGGGAATTTACGTTAACCATTTAACAGGTTTTTACTGTAGCATTTTTACAGTCTTTTACCGTTAAATTCACGGTCATTTTTTACAGTGTACATAAAACACCTTAACAACAAGAACACTAGAAAATCGACTCAGAACACCTTAGCAACCCCCTAGCAATGACAACACTCTAGAAAATCCACTCAAGACACCTTAGCAACTACTTAGAACACCCTAACAACCCCTAGCAACAATAACATTCTAGAACATTATAGCATATACTTACAAATATACTTAAGAACGTTTAAAAATCTCTTTTTAGTGCTTACATTTTTACATAAATTGTCCCTAGTTCATTTGCTCTTGCAAGAATCAGTCAAGTGCTCATTGTGAGTTTATTAGAGGATCCAGTGATCATTTTTATTAGGATTTTAACATTTTATAGCTGTGCAGAAGTTTAAAATGTTTAACATGTGTTGCGTCACCCAGTTTTTCCCCCTCATCTAATTCTGACTGACACCAAACTATTGACAGTTCATTTGCATAATCTAATCACGGGCTAAGTGATTATAGCAGAATGGACCATCTGTTACACAGAAACACAGCGTCTGATATGAGATAAACAGCTTTATGATCATATTTGTGGTGTTCGGGTGAAAATACTATTAATTGTGTGTTTGTAAAAACAAGAGTTATGAGGAATAATTCATAATAATTCTCACATTCACAGGGGGACGGTTACCAGGTGGCTACAATTACCTCCATGTCACAAAACCCACTGCCATCGGCAACAAAATAGTGGCTCAGAAGGTATGGTCTAAACAAAGATGGGTTTGCATTCTATCACAGTACAGTCCTAGATTACTTTAACCAAGAGTTTAAGTGTTGCATTAAGAGCTTAAAAGGTTCATCTTTATTATTCGCATCCTGCAGTGTCGTGACATCGTGACGGGCCGCACTGAAACAGGGAACTACTTCCATCTGCATCTCAGCTCGCATGATGTGGTGGAGAGTATCACGTGCCTCTCTCAGAACACACTTCCCGTCTCCGACCTCCTGTGTCTCTACAGGAAACACCAGCTGCTGCTGAATCATCTCTGCTCACGCTACGACGAGGGTTTGGTCCATGACATGTACAGGTTAAACTGTGTTACGTCAATCTTACAGTCAGAAATTATTTTTTCTGTCACAGTCGGACGATGCATTTACACTCAAAACAGACTAAATCAAGACTAAAATCAGGCCTGATTCTAAATTGCAAGAAATAGATTTCAACTTCAAGATTAAATCTGAATTTCAAATCTACAATAATAAGGCAGAACAGAAGTTTTGCCCCTTGGTTTTATGGTGAAATATCTAGATCTAGACATGTTCTTGAGAGGTTTTGTGAGATTTGCACTGCAGCCCATTTTGATTGTTCAGTTTAATACGTAAACACCAAATCAAACAACTAATTCTCTTGAATTATGCACAGGATTATTTATGACTCTCCAAACTTTAATCATATCTGTATTCATCTGGTCACACTTTATATGATGATCTATTTCCGACAGTGTGACCTCTGCTCCTAAACTTTAACACCACTGACCCTCCACCCTCAGAGCCATTGTCCTGCATTACTAATCTGTTTATGCAGGTGTGCAATCCGCTTTCCACAGCGCCACGAGACAATAGTTAAGCCACCCAGCAGCGCTGATCACACTTATTAAAATGGGATTCTTCACCGCTTTTTTTGTCGTGACTCTGAATGTGGCTCAATGTCATTACAGAAAACGGCCGATCATCAAGACCTGTGAATGTAATTGATCGACCGTGCTGCTGTATGGAGCATATTAGATGAACATGCTAAGTGGAGTGTGTGTGTGTGTGTGTGTGTGTGTGTGTTCGTTCTGTCATTATTTACTCACCCTCATGTCGTTCCACACCTGTATGCTGTTATGTTTTCCATGGAATGCAAAAGAAACATTTCTGATGAATCTTCACGCAGACCATCACAGCTCATAGTGACCACATCTGTCAAGCTCTAAAAAAGACAAAAAACAAAGCCATAAAACTTTGCATGTCTAGCAAGTTGCAGGCATGAGGACAAAATTAATGACAGAATAATGACCAAATTTAGATTTTTCAAGTGAACCATGTGTTTAAATCCAAATGTGACTTTTTAATTTCCCTTCTTCCAGTTATTTTAGAGAGAATTGGTGCTTGGCTCTTTACCACGACCGCTTCGCTGACTTTGAACAGGAAGTCCGGCAAATCATGGACTCAGCTAAACTAGAGGTCGGTTTCCTTTACTTCTACGTCTCTGTTAGAAGCATTTGTTCTGTAAAAAGTCTTTCCAGACTAACACTTTATTGCAATTATGAAACATTTTGAACCTGTACATGTCATGCACTAATCATTTTAATAATTTTATCATTTTAATTACGTCATGTGATTAAACCTGTACATGTCATGCACCAATAATTGTAATAATTTTTATAATTTTAAAGCAAAAAAAAAATCAAGTTCCTCCTAAATGCACATTGAAAAATTATAACTAAATAAATAATTAAATAAAAATCAGATGTCAGGTGAAATAAATGAGTTTGTTCAAATATGGCAGGTAAACAAATAAATACCGATATTTTTATAAAAAATTAATAACAAAATTTAAAAAAACAATAATAACTACACAGGTTCGTCGGCGCCGATAGCCTTGTAGGCAACACGCCGACATACAACGCCGCTGCGCTTCGGGCGTCCCGTGTTCGAATCCCGACTCGAGGACCTTTCCCGAACCCACCCCCTTCTCTCTCTCCCACTTCGCTTCCTGTCATGTCTGATCTGTCCTATATCACAATAAAGACAAAAATGCCACAAAAAAAAAAACATCTTAAAAAAAAAACTACACAGGTTCCACTGAAAGCATAATAAAATCAAGCATGAATAAAATAAGATTTTCATATTAAAAAAAACAAGACTTTTGTGTCTTCACAGGGTGAGAATGGTTCAGTGTCGATTCAAGAGGCTCTTCAGAAGATAGTGGACGATAAAGCAGAGTCCGATCAGTCGATGAGCCTCAGCGAGGTGTTTCAGAAAAGCGAGGCTTATTCTGCTCTGAGGAAGAGTGTTCTGGATTATCTGAAGTACAACAGATACCATCTGACTATGTACGCCCGGCCGGGACTGCTGTAATCAATTTCCATTTAATATTTACAAGTATTTATTCAGTACTTTATCTCTGGTTTCTTTATTTCCTACATTCGCTGCACCATATGTTTGGGGGGAAACACATTGTGGGGGTTGGAGCTCAAAGAACTTCAGCAAATAATAACGCTTGTTTTTGTCAAATGCAAATGTTTGGTGTGTATTGGGTGGCAATTCATTAAAATATCTGTCTTTGCTCTTTTGAAATCTTGAATGTATGTGCTGTCCAGTATTATATTATGTGGAGCTGTGAACGCAGCGGCCCCTCAGTGCGGTGGGGCAGATAAGAGCAGCAGAATGAGGGGAATCTGACCGGTTGTAAAGACGGAGAGCAGCAGCAGCTGTATGATAATGAATGTGGGGCAGAAAATCACAGACGCATGATCCAGCAGTACCACGTCACATAGCTCATGTATTTTAGTATGTTTGACTCTGGTGAGTAGTAATGTGAGCAGAGCAGATATTTAAAATAAAATTATAAAAATAAAATAAAACTTACATAGGAGATTTCAGATGCAGCAAATTAGTTTGTTGAAGTTAGGCAAGTAAACCATCTTGCCACTTAAGCTCAAAGCTGAATGTAATTAAATAAAAAATAAAATTTAACAGTAGGTTCCACCAAAATGCACATTGATCATAATCACAAAATACATAAAACGCAAAAAAAAAACGGATTCTTTTAAAATGCACATCAATAATAAAAATGTAATAATGAACATGCAAAATGCAAAACACAACTACACATCAAGTGCAATAAAATAAACTACAAATGCAATAAATAATCTTCTAAAATGCTCATCAAATGTAATAAAATAAAATAAAGCTTACACATCAGATATCAGATGTGTTTGACAAGTAAACCATATTGCACATTAAGCTAAAAGTTGGGTAATGTATGTGGAAATAAATGTTATTCCTCTAAATTGCACATCAAGTTTAATAAAATAAAATATATTTTTAAAAAGCTTACATCAGATGCAACAAATGTGTTGTTCAAATTATGCATGTAGCCCATCGGGCCCCCAAAAACGCGTATGTGTAAATAAAATAAAACGAATGCAATACACACAGATGCTCAGCAAGAGTAATGAAATCACGTGCAACAAGTGTGCTCGTCTGCAATTACATTAACGCCATTTTTGCGACGCTCTCCGAACGAAACGAGGAAGATTACGAGAAATTCCGCTACGACGAGACCGTTGCATTGGAATGACATCATCACACACGAGCACAATGCTGCTGATGGCACGGGCGAGTTTGCAGACAGGAACGAGTCCGTTTGAACAGAAGGATGGTGTGCGTCTGTCCCTGCCGCTCGCGCAAGCGTGTCTTTTGTGATGCAAACGAGAGGAGCCTCTTTTATGAATTATGTATGCGCGCAATGAGTGATTAATATGTCCCGCATTCAACTGTCGCACATGTCCTGAGCCCGCGGGCGTCTGATTTATACATTTAATTAGTCGCGAGACAAATTACGCATGCAACTTGCGAGCCTTTTTGCAGCACGAACCGATTTAGGGACGTTCGGGTTAAAACTGCGCCGCTCTGCGCGCTTGAGCATTAAAAACGGAACTTCTTTGTTGCCAATTCCCCCCTTTTAATTTGAAATTCTGATGCTCTAGGAGCGAAGGAGCCCCTAGAGGATGCTGACAAAGGCAGGGCACGTGTGCATTGACGGGAAGCATCAAAGCGTGAAAAGAGGAGGAACCAGCGTGTGCCTAAAGCATCCTAATATAATAAACCTCAGGTACATCTGCCCGAGCAATCTGCAGACCCTCCCATCTCCAAATCCATAGGGATTCCAGCTCCATCTGATTGGACGAGGCAGCGAGGGGCGAGAACAATGTCATCATTCCTGCTTAAAAAGACTGCTGCTATGCCTCCGTGATGGAAAGATCGCCGCACGCGTCCAAATATAGAACCAGGTGTGCCTCTGATTCCAACCCGTCTGAAGTGCCTTTCAGCTGGCGAAGATGCCGAGGGGATTTTTAGTCAAGAGAAATAAGAAAGCGACACCTGTTTCGTACCGCGTCCGCTTGGAGGAGGATGAGCAGGGCGCGTTTCCAGGCGCGCAGCAGGACGCGGCGAGCACGCACCGCCCGGCGTCGCTGCGCACGGACTCGGTGCAGCCGGTGCAGTTTGGGAACCCAGAGATTGTGTACCTATCTATGTACAGCCCGACCCGACCCGTGAGCAGAGAGCACGAGAGGGCGTGTTTGGAAAGGCGCTTCAATCTCGGCTCGCCCATTTCGGCGGAGTCCTTCCCGGCGGCGGCCAGCGGCTCCGATCATGCGCCGTTCGCGCCCGTGGATCTTAAAATCGGCACCAGCAACAGCACGCGAACCGGCACCACAATAACCACCAAACGGCCCGCGTCAGACGCGGAGCGCAAAGGCAAACCTGCATCCAAGAAAGCCAAAGCCATGCGAAAATTGCAGTTCGAGGACGAAGTCACCACTTCCCCGGTGCTGGGACTGAAGATCAAAGAAGGTCCGGTGGAGCAAAAACCCAGATCTCAGTGCGCAGGCGGCGACAAGCCGCTAGGCGAGTTCGTGTGTCAGCTGTGTAGAGAAGCCTACGCCGATCCCTTCTCTCTAGCCCAACACAAATGCTCAAGAATCGTCCGGATCGAGTACAGATGCCCAGAGTGCGACAAGCTCTTCAGCTGCCCGGCGAACCTGGCCTCGCACCGGCGGTGGCACAAACCCAAAACAGCGCCGCAGAAGCCGGAGACCAATAAAACCCCCGCGCCTCAGAAAGAGGAGACCTCCAGCGACAGAGACACTCCGAGTCCTGGACTCTCCGAATCCGGGTCCGAAGACGGGCTTTACGACTGCCAGCACTGCGGGAAGAGGTTCAAGCGTCAGGCGTACCTGAAGAAGCACGTGATGGCGCACCACGACGCGTGCAACAAATCCCAAAGCCAGGCGCCGCTGAACCTGAGCGCGTCTGAGTGCCACCTGTGCCCGGTGTGCGGAGAAAACTTCCCCAGCAGAGTGAGCCAGGAGCGGCACATCCGTCTGCAGCACTCGGCGCAGATCTACCCCTGCAAATACTGCCCCGCCATGTTCTACAGCTCGCCGGGACTCACGAGACACATCAACAAATGCCACCCGTCGGAAAACAGGCAGGTGATCCTGCTTCAGATGCCGGTGCGTCCAGCCTGCTGAAGCAAAGCTGTGCCTTAAACCAGTGCTTCGCTACCCACCTCTCGGATCTCGCGGAATCGGGTCGGGAAGCGCTGCATTAACCCACAGAAGCGACCTGGATGCGCACCAGATGAGACTCTTTTCAAATCTAAGGTAGTTGATCTACAACAGGTTAGACTGTTCGCTTATTTTTCTAGGATCTCCGCACAAGTGTAAAAAATATGAAAAATATGTCTTTTAGACCTAAGAAATCCTAGAACATGCCTTGAATTCACGGGCTGTACATACGTTTCCATCGTCTCTAGCTTTAATAGAGCTTGTGAATCTGTGGACTTTGACTGTAGCTTTCCAAACAACCTGCTGACAAGGGTTTCTCCCTTTAGTGTAGCCAGAAATGCCTTGAATTAGATCTTGACACGGGCATCAGCGGTGTGATCAATCAGCATTAGTTCAGCATCATTGAGAGGCTGGATGCTGACTTTACTTGCCTCTCTGAATGACTGGCCTGTAGCGTGTGTCCTAATGATCTAACTGGACACATTTCAGCTGGTATCCATCATCTGAGGTCTGATCCATGGAGCTGGTGCATGCTGGGAGAGAGAATGAGACTGATTAATAGCACTTCCTTCACTGACAATAAAGTACCAGCAATTACCCAGCTAACAGAGAACAACTTTTAATAAGTCCTCTCAAAGTTATGAACAAATGTTCTTCCAGTAACATTAATAGAACTTTCTTTTTATGGTATTAAGCAAAAAAAAAACTTTATATTAACCCTAATACAAACTTCAACATTTCTCCAAGAGCAAATGATCTGAGCTGCTTTCAACCCATATTTTTTTAGCCCTCTTACTGTACATGAACAAATGTCTGATTTGTGTCTATTTTTATTGTCCTGAGGATTTTTTCTGAAACAAAAGTAATACGTGAATTAAACCGAGATCTCCATTTAGCGTCCTCAGCTATGAAAGAGCATTAAAATGCATGTGTTTGGTGTGTCACAACAATGTGGCATTATGAAAACAAATCTCTCTCTTCATATGAGCGTGTGTCAGGCGTGTAAAGAGAGGTCACACCTGCACTCCTCTGTTTGTCATCCCTCTCTCCGCCTGCTGTCTTTCCTCAGAAGTAAACACTGCTTGAGCGGGCGGTCTGGTGCGTGGCAGCTCTTATCTGGCCTGCGCTCAGACAAAGAGATGGAGAGGAAAGTAAACACTTGCACTTTCAGTCCTACAGCAAAGCACACAAACCTCAAGGCATTTTCCAGTATGGCAGGTGTTGCTGTCGTGGACACACACACACACACACACACACACAAACACAAACACAAAGGAAATTACAGTAGAGTGAAAACACCCAGCCTGTGAAAGAGAATGAAGGCTTGTTTAGGTATGGTGCACACTTTACCAAAACTTTCCATCTAATCCAACATGCAGATAAAGGTTTAATTCACACAGATTCTTAAAAAATGTCTCATTTAGTGTTCAATGAAAGACAAAGGTCTATATATAGACACACACTACCATTCAAAAGTTTGGCGTCAGTGCGATTTTCTTTTTTTTTTTTTTTTGGTTTCTAAAAACAAGTCTCTTCTGCTCATCAAGGCTGCATTTATTTGATTAAAAGTACAGTAAAAGCAGTAATATTCTGAAATATTATTACAATTTAAAACAACTATTTTTTATTTGAATATATTGTAAAATGTAATTTATTGCTGTGATCAAAGCTGAATTTTCAGCATCACTACTCCAGTCTTCAGTGTCACATTATCTATCAGAAATCATGTTAATATGCTGATTTGCTGTATTATCAATGTTGAAAACAGTTGTGGTGCTTCATATTTTTGTGGAAACCATAATACATTTATCAGGATTATTTGATAAATAGAACGTTCAAAAGTTCAAAAACGTTATTTATTTGAAACAGAAATCTTTTGTAGTATTATAAATGTCTTAACTGTCACTTTTGATCATTTTAATGCATCCCTAGATTCTCTTTCACAGTTCAAGAGATTTAAAGGAGATCCCACTTACTGTACTCATCTCAGATGTTTCTCCTAGAATTAAAATTAAATTGACAAATTCGTCAACAGTTGTCCTACAATAAGAGTATAGAGATATCAAGTGTAGATCAACTCAGATCATTTGGTTCTGGAAGACTGATAAAGACATTTTTGAGACTTATTGCAGATTTATTGGAAAAAACTTTGTTCAGATATCTACTTTTGATCTTTCTTTTTTTTCAGAAAACAAAACTATTTCTTAAGTCATTTTGCTTCTCAATTAAACTTATCTTGATTTAAGAATGTGTAGATTTGTGTACTAGAAAACAAGACAAAAATACTGACTATGAAAGACATATTTTTGCAGTAGAAACAAGAAATAAAGTTAATTTCTCTAGAGAAAGACTGAAATTCTTGAACGTATGCATATCAGTAAAAATCATGTTCTCTCTCTCTCTCTGTGTGTGTGTGTGTGTGTGTGTTATTTTTATAAATTATATAAAATAAAAATATTATAATATAAATAATATATATTTAAAATACATTCTTTTTATTTTAGAAT